ACACAAGAGTGCCAGGGTGTGTATGTATAAATTCCCGATACAAACCAAAAGTATAAAAATATCACGGTTAAGGGTAAAGCATGAGCCTTAATGGAGACTTCTTTCTTCTTACTCTGTTTCTTTTCTGATTGATATAAAAATGATTCAATAGATATAAACATACAACACGGGGTAGGACTAGATAAGTTCTTTACTTCTTCCTACTCCCTTGAACATAATAACTGTGTTGAATGATGACTAATTTCTCTTTCCTCTTTACTATTTTCTTTACCTTATTTTCTGTCAAATTATTACTGTATATGTTTTATGTTCAATAAACAAACAAACAAACAAACAAACTCTTTGGTCCATCTTAGCTTGACGCAAGAACATTCACAGCCAACAACGAGGCACTCTAAAGTTTTCAAGCCAGTATGAAGCGAGCTGTCACCCCCAGTTTTTGTCCCCTTGCCCTGGTCCACATACTAGCTCCCAGGTCGGATTTTGAACCCCACTCCTTGCCTCGCCCCCACATGCTATTCCACCAGTTTCTCTGTGACATGCACGCACTCACAGCAGACAGTGAGACACTCTAAAGCGGCCACCAGTGCCAAGCCCCCGTCCACATGCTGGCTGTCACGGCGGATCAAATAGATGAATAAATACAACAACAAAAAAAACCCCCTCCTTGCTCTTCCGTTTCTCTGTGTGCACACTCAGGGCTGACAACGGGGCGCTCTAAAACAGCCATGCCAACAGACTGAAATGAAGATGCATTCTGGTGGTTTAAGTAGGGCTCACTCGCTAACTGTATATTGCAATCGTGCCGGATAAATGCTGATGCGAAAGTAAGCGACTTTCATGATTGTATCGTGGGGGCATGGCTAATTGTGTGATGGACAGTGTTTTAGCCACACCCCAAAAATTCTGAAAACCTGAAACGGTGAAAAGCACTCTTCATGCTCCACATCAGAGTCCCGAGTGTACACATTGTCAGAATATATCTTCCAACATGTGTCATGGCATCTCTGAAATGACCTGACAAGATGACGTAAAGATGCTACGTTAGCGACGATCCACATGAAATCTGCCGTCAAGCCGGTACCGTTCAAGGCGCTCAATATCCGTAAATGTGTGCGCGTGTGAAGTCCGGTCTGGCCGCCGAGTGTGACCCCTGTCACGGTACATAAAACATGGCCGCCCAGGTCGATAACTAATTAGCTGCAAATTAGCATGCTAGCTTACGCAGCCAGCACGAGTCATCAACACGAAACAAATTGAATAAAGGGCCGTAAAATATTATTTCCTTTTTTTTCCTTTTTGGAATTTACCGAACATTCCTCCAATTTTGCCCAGCGTTTGCAAACTTCCTAGCCCGGGTGTCTTATTTTCTCTCAGTTGCCTCAAAAGGGACGTGAGTGTTAGCGGCCATGCAAGCACGCTTCAACTCTCCCAACTTGTACGACGACAAAAGTCCGCTTGGACTGGCTTGAACTCCGACGAGTGCGTATTCTTTGATCTCTTTGTCTCATTTAAATAACGCCGCGTGACAAATCAACACACACGTGTAAAGTTAAAACTGAACACACACACACACACACACACACACACTCTGAGGCCACGATCAATGACATATTGGGGCCAGCGTTGACTTATATCCCTATGCTAATAAGGCTGCTAAATCACACACGCGCGCACGCACACTCACACACACACTCACACACACACACACACACACACACACACACACACACACACACACACACACACACACACACACACACACACACACACACATAGACACACACCTTTTATTATTTAAGCCCACTCGACGGGTCTGAGAAAGAGCCAAAAGAGAGGAAGTGTTTGAAGCTAATACCAAGAAGTAGATTGTATTTTTGCCGACTTCACACAAAAGGAGAAGAGGGAGAGTTGGGCAAATTTTTTTTTTTTCTTCTCCCCCCTCAGCTTGCAACAGTGTATCACAGTCCCAAACAATTAAGTGAGAAACCCCAACTGCAATTGGATTCAAGTTGGCACAAGAGCTGACGTTCGAGTCCACTTCACGGTAACTGCGCTTGGTGTCAGGAGTGAGATTCCAACCTCACGCTAATTTTTTTTTTTTAAATTCCCTCCCCCCCGGTCATGTGACTTGTTCTAAAAACATTTTCTTGATCAGGTAAAAGTCACACTTTCATGATTGGTCTCCCAAAGGGGAATGTTTTTGATGTCGGAAATGGGATTGAAATCCCACATCCAGTTATGAAAACACTGAAGTCATATTGTCAAATCTTTTTTTTTGACCAGGGGTGTGTTCATGTTAAGGAAATGTGAAAGCCACGGTGTGAGAAGTGGGATTCAAACCTCACACCGTTTTTATTCATCTTATTTAATGCAAATCGAAATGGAAAAAGAGATTTGGCTTCGGGTGTCTTGATGACGACTGCCTCGAGGATTAAGAATATTTGGTGTCCGAAGTGGGATTCAAATCGAAGACTTTTTTTTTCTTTTTTTAATGTGGAAAAATACAATAAAAAAAAGGGTTCCATTTTAAGCCGTTTTGGGGTGGTCTCCTCGAGGGTAAAGCTATTTGGTGTCAGAAGCGGAACCGATCGATTCCTCTCTTTGAATCCGACACGGCGGCTCGGAGGCGATTGGCCTCGGCGTGGCCCCTCTCAAGTGACGGACAGGTGAGAGGCGTAATCTCATCAGCGGGCCTGTTATCCAGCCCCATGTGGGCCCGCCCTCTTTCCGAGCGACGGGGCTCCCTGATTGGATGAGAGCCTCCCCGAAGTCTGATGGATGGGCTTTACCGCGGGCGCCGGCCAAACGGATGAGCGGCGAGAGCAAATGCAGACGGATGCGCGGCCTCGCGGGGAGGACAAACATTTTATTTTTTTTGCAAAACGCGCAGGTCGCCCACATTGAGTCAAAATGGGGCAGCCTGACTTTGGCTTTGGTCGACTTTTCAGAAACATTTTATGGAGAAAAGTGAAGTCAATGTGCTCATCAAATTCTGTCCTAATTGCTGCCGTACCAGAAAAAAAAAATCAATTTTAACGTCACACATTCGCGCTTTGGTTTTGTATTCAATGAAAGGCGATTTTCATCACTGTTTCAAAAAGTTCGATAAGACGCACCATCAAATTGGCTTTTACTTGATCATTTTTATTTTTAGGAAAAAAAATGTTCAAAAAATATTGAACATTGGTCATTGTCTGCCCATGTACTTTCTTTAACTATATATAGACACGAGTAATTATCTTTTAAACATTTTAAGATTATACATTTTTTGAATTAAATTACAAAAAAAAAGATTTTCAAAAAGTTTTCTAAAATTTACTTGAACAATATTTTGGGGTAGAATAAAATGTTCACAAAATATTTAAGATTGGTTTTATTTGACCGTTGGATTCCCATTGGCTTTCTTGAAGTAAATGTAGAAACGAGGAACTATCTTTTTTACATTTCAATATATTTTTTTCATGAAAAAGGGAGCGAACCGGTGTCACATCTAATTAGCATATCACGCTAATTGTATAGCATGCCACGGGAAACAACCCACACGTGTGATTGGACGTTTCTATTTCAACTCAGTGAAAGTAAGTTGGCGAAAAAAAAAAAAATGACAACGAAGCACACTTGTTGTTGTTTTGAAGCGGTCGAAAAGTTAGCCAAAAGTTTTCCCGCGATTGCTTTTGCGGCACTGTCGGATGGAGTTTGACAGTTTATTTTTTTTTCTTCTTCTCTTTCCCCCACCGCACACTTGTTGAACTGCTGAGGCCGCCGCTTTTCGCCTCGCGATTCCTCACATCTCGCTTTTGTCGTCGCGGTTGCTGTGGCAAAGCAACCCAGATTAAATCCATTCTTCAGTGTCCTCAAAACTCACACTCAGCAACACACGCGCACGCGGGCACACGATCACCGCGTGTGAGTGTGAGTGGCTGCTATTGGACGGAGGTTTTTAACTTTATTCACTTTATGATTGCTGACTCTGCAAAAGTCACTCAACCTGCTCGGTATAAAAGTAGTGCTTTAAAATCAACGGTTCGCAATTATATGTTCATCATATGTTTATCATCAACCTGTTCAAAATAAAAGTACAACACAGTGGCCACACGGTGATTTGCAGATTTTTGTTAAACATTTCAAAAAGATAGATTTATATTTTTTTTCTTGAGTCTTCAAGCGTCCATGTTATTTTTTTGTGGCTCAGGTGTCCGGCAACTGCGACGAGGTTCTGGTGAACGGCAAAGAGATGCGCGGACGTCAGGGCATGTCGGTGGCCTTCGCGTACATGCACCTGACGGCCAGCCTGTCGCTCAACGTTTGGGTGCCCAAGCTGCCTCTGCAGATCCACGTGTCCGACACCGAGCTCAGCCAGGTCAAAGGCTGGCGGGTGCCTATCGCCCCCAGCGCCGCCAACAGCAGGAGGTAACCGCCGCATTTTAACACGCGACGACTTCGGTTTGGAAACGTTTTCACCCTCGGCGTCATTATCAAGGGAGCCGCTGAATATTCTAAAAATATGAAAACGCTGTCTTTGGTCGAAGGTGGTGATTTTAGTTGTCATGCAAAAGTACATTTTTAAAAGTTGCAATTTTTGTGGAAAAAACATTGTGTGGGGAAAAGGATCTCAGCTCCAAGGTCTAATAACAAACCTAAGATTTGTCGTTAAAAAAGAATAGAGAGAGAGAGATTATTGTTGGGGAAAGAAAATGCTTGTTTTAGTGAAAACGTCTTTTTTTTTTTTTTTTTGACAAAAAGATCTTAGGTATATTTTTGGGTGCAAAAAAATCCTTTGGAAAACTTTTCATGAAGAGATAAAATGCATTTTTAAAATTATGTCTTCATCCAGGTAAGGTAGCTTTTCACGAAAAAAATACTTTGAAGAAACTGTTAAAAACAGCATTTTTTTGTGTGTGGGGGCGGGGACTCATTTTTTAAAAAATGCATTATTTATGTCTTTCAAAATTTGTTCACAAGAATTAATTGTTTGTGATACAAGTGTTGAAAAAAAATCAATTTTTGATGGGGAAAAAAAAGGTAAAAATCTCTCCAATGACGATAAGTGTTTGGTGCAAAATTGCCCTCAATTTTGGTTTTAACACCGTGTTGGTTATTATGCTAGCTTGAAGTAGCACTGACATTGCAATGATGATCTATATTTTTTTGTTTTTTGGGTCAGGCCGACGAGAGACAGCGAAGACGACGAGGATGACGAGAGGAAGGGCAAAGGATGCACCCTGCAGGTTCTCCTCTTTGCTTGCTTTTCACGACATTACGCGAGAGAAAACAACGTTAAGCGCTGACACGTCTTTTTTTTCTGCAGTACCAGTACGCCTTGGTGAAAGTGCTTACGCACTTTGTGGCCGAGCCGTCCGACCCGGGAGGGGAGGTGGTCCGCATGCTGGGCGCCGACTGGCAGGCCGACATCACTCACTTGGTTCTTGATCAGCTCAAGGTCGACTGCAGTCGGACAACCGTTCTTTTTAAAAAGAAATTAACATTTATATTTGGTTTTATTTGAAAGTTTTATTATTATTTTCAGATTATGGCTAAAAACTGCAGAGATTTTTTTTCTGGGAATTTAAAAAAAAAAAATCGAAATGTATTGACGTATGCTGTCGATAGCTGTACACTCAACTGGCCACTTCATTAGGTACTGAGTCAAATTGGGTTTACCTTCGAAAGTGATCGTTGTTTTTACATAGGTGGAAGATGAACGCATCGCCAGGTTGGTCGACGGGCGCGTTCTGATTGGCCGAGACCTCGGCATCACCACCATACAAGTACGTGCCACCAAGAATTTCGCCAGCGTTTGTCCCACTCGACATTTGTGAGCGTGACATTTCAATTTTCCATTTACACGTTGGCTCTCGCGTCACTCTTTGCTCATCCCGTCCATTTGTGAAGATACGTATCACGTTTGGCATTCTATCACTTTGGAGTTTGGCATCACCCCTTCCGTTACAAAAAAAAAACAACAAAAAAAAGGTTGTCCTGTCTTTTGCTCGGCAGGTGTTGTCGCCTCTGTCTGACTCCATCCTCGCAGAGAAGACAGTGACGGTGTTGGATGACAAGGTAAGAAGTGTTCCTGTGATAGCTGACGATCTGTGATATTGATTAACCATTTTGATTTGGGGAAAAAAAATCTGTCGAAGTATCGCTTATGAACTGGACACCAACGTCAAAATGGCGGCAGTCAGCCGAGTGGTCTTGCGTGTCCTCGGGCCCGACAAGCCGCTGCAGGAATCAAAATAGAAGGGAGGGTTTCGGGCGGTCGGAATAAGCGGCGGTTCCTCCTGTGCGTAGGTGACCATCGTGGACATGGGGGTCCAGCTGGTGGCCTCGCTGTCGCTCAGCGTGGCGCCCGCCGGCGGCAATTGCCAAGCCGTCCTGATGACCGCCACCGCCAGCCAACTGATGCGGGCGCCAAAACAGGTAGGAGGACGCACACTATGCTAGTGATGGACAACTGAAGCTTCATGAAGCGCTTGTGATAGTTTTTGACACCTCCAGATAGCACTCTTGGTTTGAAGATGCTGTGGAAATTTGAATACGTTTCCATTGCACTAACCTTTATATTTAAACCAAGAGCACCATTTAAAGCAATCAAAAAATATCCCAAGTGCTTCATGAAGCTTCGTTTTCCCATCACTACATGACGCAGTCACTTCTTTTGAATTACAAATTTTCCCAATATGTTTTTTGCAGTCTTTGTGGAGAAACTCAACAAAAATATGTCATTTTTTTCATGCTACAAATCATAAATATTTTAGAGAGTCTAATAACATGATTATTCGATTTTTTAAAAATTGTGTGGAAAAGTAAAAAATATTTTTCCACAATTTTAAAAAATACATTTTTCTAACATTAAAAACACACCATTTCAGGCAAAAAAATACATTTATTTGTGATTTGGGGAGATAAAACACATTTCTTAGATCATGTTTTTCCAGAGCAAAGAGCTATTGTGTGGTAAAAGTCTTCATGCTATAAGAGTAAAAAAATCTTGGGGGAGGAAATTTTTGACAATCTCATGACAAAGTTGCATTGTTTTTTCACTGATAAAAGTCATCATTAAAAAAAAATTGATTTTTCCATGAGAATGACCCTTACGAATGTGTCTTCCGTGCACTTCGTACGGCTCCCGTGATCGGATTATTGCATTTCTGTTGTTTCATATCAATGGGGGGGACAAAAAAACGGAAGAGTTGACTTCTCCTGCGGCGCTTTTCATATCTTTCCAGCAAAACACACAAACACACACAAACACAGACGCTCACACACGAGTAGATGGCAGGTCGGCGTGGAAGGAAAAGCCCCGAGGTCGTAATCAGCCAATCCGAAGCGTAATCCTCCACTGTGAACATCTCACGCTGCTTATCTGCCTTACATGATAATCACGTCCTAATTAGCCGCATGCCTAACTTGCAGCCACTAACACACTCAACTACTCAACTCTTTGAGTGAGAGTGTAACGTGTATGTACTTATTTACGTGTGTGTGTGTGTGTGTGTGTGTGTGTGTGTGTGTGTGTGTGTGTGTGTGTGTGTGTGTGTGTGTTCAAGCAATGCCAATTTTGCGCTCCTATCTTGTTCCCATCTGTGCTATGATTTGAGGCTACGTGCGCTTACCTCAATTGGAGGCAGGAAGGAGCTTGCCGCCATGACAAAACCCGTCTGCATTTGTATAATTATGGAGATGTTAGTTCGTTCGTTCGACACCGTGTTGGTTTGCATCGGGTCCAAGTGGGGCGAGCGAGGTGATATCTCCAGCAGGTGGCGCTGCGGTGAAAATGGTCAATGTTTTTCAAGTGCTCGGGGTTCCATTTCAGGAAGCGGCCATCAGCGCTTGGATCCACTACAGCGACGGCTCCGTTACGCCGCTTGACATCTACGACCCCAAAGACTTCCTGCTGTCTGCGGTGTCATTGGACAACGATGTCGTCTCCGTAACCAATCAGGTGGGTGCTTCTCTTTGCGCTCTTTGGCCTGCAACCGCTCGAATTGTTGTCGCACCGCGGGTCCATCGGGGTGGCCGTGTCGGTTAGCCACTTTGCTATCTAGTTAGCTCATCACTCAGCCAGTCAGCGTGCTTGTTAGTCACTTGGTCGATGAGTTAGTTAGCGAGTTCATCACTGAATGTAATTGTTAGTTCAGTCAATGATTGGGCGAATAAGATGTTGGCTCGGTTCTTAGTCAGCGAGTGAATCGAAGGTTGGTTATTTCGGTAGCGAATGGATATTAGCCATTCAGTTGGTGGATCATCCAAATATTTAGAGCGACTCAGTGAGTCACTCATCTGTTTCATCAGTAAGTTAGTCAAGTAGGTCGGTCGTGAGTTGTCAACAACTAGTTTTTTCGTTCGTCAGTCGGCCCGTAAAGTTGCTGACTCAGCCAGCCTGTTAGTGAGTCAGCAATTTAGTCCATCTGTTACGTACACGCCTAGCTAGCAACAGCAACCAGTTAGCTTATCGGTCAACTTGTTAGTTAGTTGGCCGCTTGCCAGGAAGTTGGTCACTCAAGCAGCCAGCTGGCTCGTCAATCGGTAAGTTTGTGAGTCAGTCAGTTCAGCGAGTGAAGGAAGGGAAACGCCTTATCCTTGCGCTCTCTCTTTGGCGGCGCGGCACCGGCAGGAACAACACTGGCCCGTGGTGGTGGCAGAAGGTGAAGGCCAGGGGGCGCTGGTGCGCGTGGAGATGGTGATCTCGGAGACGTGCCAGAAGTCCAAGAGGAAGAGCGTGTTGGCGTCAGGCGTCGGCAACGTGGCGGTCAAGTTTGGAGCCGCCCGCAGCGACGGCGACGAGGGCGGGGCCCCGGCGGAAGGGGGCGCGGCGGACAACGACACCGAGCAGCTGAGAGTCGCAGACGGAGCCGAGCGGGAGTCCAAAAGTGTGGCGGTGGCCGTGGAGCGTGAGGAAGGCGCCATGAGGAAGGTGGGACGACAACAAAAAAACGTGGCCTGAAATGGAAAAGGTCAAAGCTGACTTGCCGCTGCATCGTCAGGTGAGCTTAACGACCAAGAGCACCGTCACCCATCGGGCGGCGGGCGGCAAAGCCGGCGGCGGCGACGGAGGTCCGAGCCGGGCGGAGGACAACGCCGGCTACCCGGCCCAAGTGGAGGTGCCCGGACCCTCCGACGGCGAGCTGAGCCAGACCACCAGGGGACTCTCGGACCTGGAGATCGGGATGTACGCCCTCCTGGGGGTCTTCTGTCTGGCCATCCTCGTCTTCCTCATCAACTGCGTCAGCTTTGCCTTCAGGTAACCTCTTCCTTTCCGACAAGGAGGAATACATGAAAAAATGCTCGGTGTCGAGGACGACGGAACGCTTTTGTAAAGGCTCCAAAGTGCCAACGATGCCCGATCCCATTCGAGTGTGCTTTTTTTTTCCTCGCTGCCTTTCTGGCACGGGGACCCTCAGGTACCGCCACAAGCAGGTGCCCGTGCTGGAGGCCGGCGGCAACATGAACCACGCCCACGACTGGGTTTGGCTGGGCAATGAGGCCGACCTCCTGGCGGACCACCCGGACCACGCCGACCCCTGTCCGGCGGCGCCGCCCGACGAGTGCACCACCATCATCGACCGCGGCGAGGACGCCTACGAGGAGAGCAAGTACCTCCTGAACGGGGCGGGCATCGCCTCGGCCGTGGCCGCCGGCAGGGGCGGCGCGGGCCACCGGGGCGTTTCCCACAGCCAGACCTTACCCCGGGCCCTCCCGGACCCCCACCAGTGCCTTTCCGCCATCACCGCCGCCCGACGCGACGCCGAGCATCTCAACAACTCGCCCAGGGCGTCCGGCAAACGCAAGCGAGTCAAATTCACCTCGTTTGCCACCGTGCTGCCCAACGACCGCCACCAGGGCGGGGCCGGGGGCGGCGGCCCCTACGCCGACCCCTCGGTCCTGCTCGGCAAGGGCGGCGAGGACGACATCAAGTGGGTCTGCCACGACGTAGACATGGGCCAGTCGGAAATCAGGAGCTACATGGAGAGGCTACAAGACAATTTGTGACTGCGCGGTGGACTGGGGGTGGGGGGCTGAGAAAGGTGTGTAGGGTGGG